ACCGCTAATTGATCTTTTATGTTGTCGTGTTACATCGTATATATGCACCGACAACATTTATTAACGATCTTTTATCTTCGGCATACATTTTTCATTAGAAAATAACGAAAATTATATATTGAATATCTTCCTGTGATGGTGAGAAATTCAGATTACGGACATGACTTCCCAAAAAATCCCAACCTAATTTTATTCTCCTGATAATCAACATTCATCGCTTATTATTTTCCACAAGTTTATTTTGTATTTTATCATAGCTCAAATTTTTCTGGTAATGAATAAGTGCAAATGAAAATGCATATACACAGGATGGTGTAAAATTTCACGAAGTTTCAGAATATGTCGTTACTTTTAAAAAATATACTCTTTTGGATATATATATATATACAACTTTTATGTCTAACTAAAACTTTACAAAAAAACTGGTGCATGATCACTGTGTGAATGTTTTTTTTTGCTTTTGAACTATTTTGTACTTAGTATCAAACACCCATGTTGCGAATACCGGATCATTTTTTGCGGTAAACCGCGGTATTTATCCGTTCTGTGGTAATGGGAGCCGGTAACCGGACCGGTAAAACCGCGGTAAACCGGCGGTTTTTTGCTCATGTTTATCACATGTAAAAGTAAAAAAACAGGATGATTAAAATAGTTTAATTGATGATTTGGAAGACTTTTTCTGTCAAAAATTATAGACGAACCGGTTAACCGCTTTTTTTTAGCGATAACCGCGGTATTAATCAAAACCGGCGGTTTACCGCGGTAAATGTCGGATCATTTTTTGCGGTAAACCGCGGTATTTATCCATTCTGCGGTAATGGGAGCCGGTAACCGGATCGGTAAAACCGCGGTTAACCGCCGATTTTCAAGCGATTTTTATTACATGGGCAAGTTCTCAGTCAGCCCACTAAATAGGCGAAAGGAAAAATACTATTAAAAAAACAAATGTCACTATATAGTACAAGAATTTGTTCAAAACACATGATTATACACATTAAAAGTGTTTTTTCGTCTAACAACCATCTGATCGTTGCATAGATTGATTTCGAGAGATAAACAATTTAGTTCATCCACACCATTTTAACAATCGATGTGTCTTATATGTAAGAAAATTTTCTTCGTCTTTCAACAAGACTCTTAGAGCAATTCTCTGGTGTATTTTGTTTGAGATATTAAGTCGGAAGAAATATTTTTCTTTTATATGAAAATAGATTATGTGAGAAAAAAATATGAAAGTAAAATTTTCTGCCTGATGAAGTTATTTGTGTAATTTGTGTGGTATTAAATTTTGAAATACGATTCACCTATTATTATTAATTACAGATAAATTGTTTTACTATATAAATCTTGAGATTTAATTCTTCATCTTCTCTCTATTTGAAACCTCCCGAAAAGTGTTGTAGCAAACCATTATTGATCTACAGTTTGTGATCGTATAATAACAACGTATTTACTATTGTCTATCTCCGTCGAGCTTTTCACATTCTCTTGTACAATTTATACATCAAGAAAAAAGGGAGATATTTCGCTTTTTAACATCTCACAACGCTTTATTGTATTACTTTTTCGATCTTCATGTAACATTTGCAACAGATCTTAAAAACTCACCATCACATATTTGGATCCTTGTCATATTCACGTAGATCAATATAGCACGTTCCATTAGTTCCATATTGCTGAATAATAGCCGTATTGAATATGTGCTTTTCCAATGTCATCAATTCTAGTGAAGATGACCAGACAGGTCTAGATTCATCAATAAATCTACTGAATGCATATTCACACATGACCCCAAATATAGATTGTATGCATCGATGATGTCGACTCGAGCTCCTGATTCCAACATCATTATATCTATCCAATTTTCGTTTTTCGTAAATTAGAGAAATACATGATGGCAAGCTCATCACATTCACTGTGGTTTCGATACATTAAATGTTCGATTGATCGCCGACAAAATTCCTTAATTGCTGTTCCACTATTTTGATCATCAATAATTAAACAATCTTAGTTATCCGAAGATTCTCCCAAATCACTATTGTGAATGATAAGAATAAATAATATTAGTCTCTGCACAATTGAAACGATGAAATTATTTTACTCTATGAAAATCATATTTGATATATCGATCATAGGTTGTGATAAAAGTAAACAAGCAGCATCTCAAACCATATGTGATTATATGAAACAAGAAGAAAGTTTCACTTTTCTCACAACAACATGTCTCAATACTAACTAATAAGATGTGTTTTATAAAATGGTCTTTCGCTTTTTTTGAGTGAAGTGAATTTTTTTATTGTTTCTGACTATCGTGATAAGGTCTATATGAGTTGAAATGTATTAAACGAATTTTTCAGTTAATACTTACATGTGTTTTCATAATCTATGACAGTTTTATCACTGTCAAACGCTTTAGCAGATGTTAGTATACTTTTGTACAAACCAAATGTGGCTTTATCGAATAAGAATAGTTTTGAATTTGTTATAAATAGATATATCTCTTTCATGCCATATAATTGAGTTTTACGTAACGTTTGATATATAGAACGAAAAATAAAATATGAGTAACTACAAGTACAGCCTTTATATTAATCACCATTAAAAAAATATGTCGATCACACGCACTACATAGTGTCCAATTCATATAGTCAACATACCTCAGTACAGATAAGACGTACTTTTCGTACCAGTTCTTCTCTGATCCACTAAGTATCCAAACTCAACTCGTTGTTCTCCCGCAAGAAACCTTATGGGCCAAACGGGAAACAGCATGACACAAAATGATGATATT